CCCGGGTTTGAATTCTGGCTCCCATTCACTGATGATATGATTTGATCAATGATATGATCTCTCTATGCCTCAGTGTTCTTATCCATAAATTGGAACTAGCAATAGCACTCGACCAAGCCCCTAAAACAGGAACACATTCTTTAAATGTCTGTTGCCACAATTTTATTATTTCTCCCCAATAATCCTTATATTCTTAGGAAATACATATAGCTAATACATAGGTGGACCTTATCTTATCCAACTTTTGTCTAGATTATCAGATTCTTATCTCTAAAACATGAATTATCTGGATGACTGTGGGTGTTTTCCCCATTATATAAGTTGGAGGCACAGAAAAGAAGCTGACCAAAAGCAATAAAACAGACAAAGAAAAACGTAGAATGAATCAGTGTTAGCAAAAGAGAAGAGCCTGAGGGAGCATCAGGAAGCCTGCCAAGTAGATCTATTAAGTAAAAGAGAGATGGGGTGAAAACCATCAATTAAAATTAATTAAACTTTTAATTGTTTGTGATGCTGACCTCATGCTCCAGGTGCCTGAGACAAAGGAAGAAATGGGGATAATTGAGTGGTCAGGACATTTTTCCAACTGGCCACTTTTCCCTTAACAAGACCACACCTGTCTCTTCCACGTAGTCCTCGAGAGCATCTTGGGTCAGGACTTGAAATCATGGCTCAAGTTGCCCTGCACTGAAGAGAGTGGGCATCCTGAGGCCGGGCAGACAGCTGTCTGGACCCTTCTTCCTCATTCTTCTCCATCAGCACGTCCAGCTGATGATACTTACAAACTGAATTCTGCTTCTCTGCACCTCTTCCCCACTCCAAGCTTCTGTTTCCACCTGGAAAACCACAGTGGCTTGCTAAGTTGTTTCCTCATTTCTACTTGTACATTTATCATTCTCCAAAATTGCCTTGTCTTGACTCTTCTGCTTGTTTTTCCCACTAGCCTGTAAACTTCTCATTCACCAGTGGCTGGCACATGCATAGCCCACTCTTTCTCTTTTTTTTAAAAAAAATTGACTCCTGATTTTATTATTCAATTTCTCTTTTCTATTTTTTTTTTTTAAAGAATTTATTTATTTATTTAAGAGAGACAGAGAGAGAGCGAGCATGACCCGGGTTTGGTGGGTGCGGGCAGAGGGAGAGGGAGAAGCAGACTCCTGGCTGAGCAGGGAGCCCAATGCAGGGCTCGATCCCAGGACCCTGAGATCATGACCTGACCCGAAGGCAGATGCTTAAAGGACTGAGCCACCCAGGCACCACTCCCTTTTCTATTTAAATTAGTCTTCAGTGGCTGGGAAGCCTGGCCTTGCAAGATCACAATCAGTTGGAGCTGGTTGTTGTTGGAAGGGGGTTGGGTTGGGGACTGGGATGGGGGCAGGGAGACCCTGCTCTGCTGGCAGCATTATTCTTGATTGAATGGAAGGAGCTGGAAATAGTTGTATTCTCAAGTAAAAGACATTTTCTCTCCCAAAGGCGAGTCCACTCTATAGATATGAAAGTGGACCCCTTAATAGATCTACTGGGCAACATTTTGTCTAACTCATTGAAATTATAAGACTTCAAAGTCATTAAAGGTAGTCACACTCTATTTACTTATTTATTTATTTATTTACTTGAGAGAGAGAGAGAGCAGCAGGAGAGACAGAGGGAGAGGGAGAATCTGGAGCAGACTCCACCCTGAGCGTGGAGCCTGATGCCGGGCTTAATCCCAAGACTCTGAGATCATTCATGATCTGAGCCACCCAGGCACCCCCATAATCTTCTTTTTAAGTGTGTCATTTGTCTTTTTCATACCCAGGAACTGGAGAATGAATGAAATATTCCCAGATTAGGCTGACCCACTCACCTATGTTGACTCTGGTGACTCTGGTGGCCAAGCGCCTCCCACCTCATTCTCAGCAATTATAGTCAGCCTTTGAATGTTTGTCTCACACAATTCTGCTTCCCTGATACTGACTCTTGGGGCTCCGTGGTACAGGGGTTGCCATCACTCTCTCTGCCACATTTCTGACCACCTTGGGAAATGTGAGGTCATTACACATGGTCCAGAGCCACCCGTCAGGAAGGGGCCCAGGCTGTTTCTCGTATGAGGTAGCTCCATTCTGGAGTACTTGATCCTCCCCTCTCTGTCCTGTCACAGTTGATTGGAGCGGGGGGAGGGGGCAAGGGTGGTCACCCCGAGGTCATCTAGTCCAAAGCCTGGTCAGCACAGAGTCTGGCTCAGGACAAGAAGCTCCAGCTAATGAGATGAGTCAATCATAACCCACCCACTCCCCTGGAGCCTGATCTGTGAAGTGCAGACAGAATTGTATGGTCACTGGAAGTTTGGGAGGTCATGAGAAAGGGAGAGGCCTTGTGGGACCAGGAGCAAATTAGAGTTAGGAGGACTCACAGGCAGAAGTGCTGAGCTGAAGCAGGGCTAGATAGAGTGGGGGGCAAGGAAGCCATTGGAAGCAGGAAGATAGGGGGCAGACACACAAAGAGAAGCAGAGACCCAGAGAGCGGCCAAGTGAAGGTAAAAGTGGAAAGCTAGAGGTGAGCTCCCAGATTCTTGCGACGGGGCTCCTGGAGCACCTCGGTGGATACCCAGGGTTCTTAAATACCTTCCTGTTCCAGTCTCCAGGATCCCAAGTTATGGTATGCTCCTGATTTCCATGAGATTCTGGCTCCCGTGTTACACCACAACAAACCCTCATTGCCTGAGCCGCGCTGAGTGGCTTGCTGTTCTTAGGGGCTCACACGCCAACATCCCAAAAGTGACCACCAGCAGTGGGCGGCAACCCCGCACCAGCATGGGCTGTTTCTATCAGGCCCTGTGTGTGGGTGTGTGGGGGTAACGCCTGAGAGCTTTCAGGGTGTGACTCCTTTGCTCAAAGGCTCTGCTAATAACCACAGGGGTGGTTTCAATGCTCAAGGATCTAGGCTCCATTTTTTTTTAATTCACGTCTCCTCCAATTTTATATACACATATGTTTTATAAAAAATATTTATAACTATATCATATATATAAAAGAAAACATAAATATATATAATATGTAAACATAAACATATACACAGATATATATTACAGGTACAATACAATTGCAACTTAGATAGGAGTTAGAGGCTGAAGTGTGGGTTCGGCTAAATGTGTATATAGTCAAAATTCTGCCTGGGAACCCTCTAAATACCAGTAGAGCCCATGTACATGATTTTGGGTATGTTATTATAGCCTTTAGAGTAACAGTAAAAATAAATGCAAAGAAATATCATTATCAGACCTTCCTACAGAACACTTGCTAAAATAGCTGCAAAGGAGAAAAACAGATTCTGGTCCCCACCCCCTGACATATACTCAAAGCGGCAAAACTGTGACTGTAACTTGCAAAGACTTTTTCCTTCCCAAGTGGCAATTGAATAATTCCTCCCAGCAAACAGAATTTCTGTGCCATTCCCTGTCAGTCAGATTTTCTATGAGATGATTTGAATTGGACCCCTCTTGACTTTCCAGAGATTTGAGGTGGTTCTAACAGTTGGCATGTATATAATAGCTCCATTAAAATTGGAAAACAAAAAATCTTAGAAAGGGGCGACTGGTCCAAAAAAGTGAGGCAGATATAATTCCCACCATGGACAACTAAATGCTGAACTTCCTGGAAGTCAAGGGAAAATCCTAGATAAGAATTATCATTGTTTAATCAAAATAAGTTAATCAAAAGAGAGGGTTTTCTCTTAGCACTGTTTAAAAAAATTAAGTCACTCATAATTTCAACATAGTGATATTCTTTTTTTTTTTAAAGATTTTATTTATTTATTTGAGAGAGAGAATGAGAGACAGAGAGCACGAGAGGGAAGAGGGCAGAGGGAGAAGCAGACGCCCTGCTGAGCAGGGAGCCCGATGCGGGACTCGATCCCGGGACTCCAGGATCATAAGCTGAGCCGAGGGCAGTCGCTTAACCAACTGAGCCACCCAGGCGCCCCTCAACATAGTGATATTCTTATTTTGCTTGTATACACTGTATTCCTGTGCTTCTCTGCGGGCAAAATAATGGGTAATTTGCTTTTAAAAATATTTGAATAGGCAAAACAATCATGTAGTCTGAAAATAAAAGAGTGTGAAAAGTTTCTCTTTCATCCTGGTCGTACATTTGCCCACTTTCAACTTCCCCAATCTGCCCCCCCTCCCCACCATTTTGTATCCTTCTAGCGTTTTCTTGCACATTCAATAACATCGTCATCATCAACAACAATGAAATATAGATTCTTGTCCCATGCTCTTCTTACGCCTTGATTTCTCTCATTTAACAACCTTTTTCTGTGGACACTTCTCTATCAGTAGGAAAACGTCCTCATTCTCTTTCATAGCTACAGGGTATCCACTGTTTGGCTGCACCTCTACTAACTGAAACTGGGCCCTACTGGTCCTTTGTTTTGCTATGTGAATTTGAATGCTATCACCAATTCCCCTGCACGGGGGTTTTGGCAATTTTATGCTCTCAGCAGCAGTGTCTGAGAGTTGAGTTGCCCCATAACATCTATACACTCCAGAACCAGTCTTGCTAAGTTCCAGGGAGGAAGGAAAAGGAATGGAAGAAAGGAAGGAAGGAAGAACTGTTAATCAGGCACCTACTCTATGCACATACACGTCTGGTCCTCACTGTAATGCTCTGAGGCAAATTGGCATCCCTGATTTTTACTAATGAGGCAGTTTTGTCTCTGAGAGGTTAGGGAATTTGCACCATATCTCAGGTAAGTGGGCGAGGGTCCTGACCCAGAGGTTGGCTTGGTTCCAATGTGCCAGAGTTCTGGTGGGCTGGAGGATATCTCAGCAGAGCCTTGGGGTCGTCCTGACAGTGTTCATGAACCAGCAAGGTTCTTAGTGTCCCAACTATTTTATTTTCTTGCCTGCTTTGACATTCAAGTGTCACAGCTCAGCCCTTATTAAGGAGCCCCTGGCAACCTTCCCCCCGCCCCACCCCCCGCTTCCGCTTGGCGTCCTCCCCAGGTTCCAGCCCTGGCCCTCACAGGTGAATTTTGAAGTTGGAGCAGGGATCCTCCGGGTGCCCCTCTCCCAGAAGAGCATCTAACCACTCCTCCAGGTCCTGGACCAGCTGCTCCAGCTCTCGCACCTCTTTCTCTAGCTTCTCCAAGAAAACATGCAAGTTTTCCTTCAACCAGGTCCTGATGACCTTTATTGGCTCTTCTGCGGGTTCATTGGTCTGGTATTCAAATCCCTGAAAGGCAGACATCAAAGTTGCATCTTGAGCTTTTTCACGTAGGACCCCCTTGCCACTGGTTTCAAAAAGTTTTCTGAGCCTTTGCATATGCTATTCCTTCTCTCTGGAGTGCCCATCCCCACCTTCTCCACCTGGCCAGCTCCTACTTATCCTTCAAGATCCAGCTCGCCCATGACACCTCTGGGAAGCCTTCCCAGATTTCCTCAGTCAAACTTGACATCCCCTCAGCACCTTTTTTGAATATGTTACCTGGGAAGCCACAGGATTCTGGGGATAGTTACATTCTCTGATCCTTTCTGACACTTCCCAACTTCTTCCTGAAACAGGCACAAACATCACCTCTTAACAAGGGCAAATGAGCAGTCATTGAAATGAACATGGTTGGTCATCCCAGTGGGTGAAGGGGGGAGAAGGCAAGTTTTGGAGGCTCCATTGACATGCAGCCATCTCCAGAATACCCCTCCTGACTCCGGGTGGACTCGGCTCCTCCTTTCTCAGCTTCCAGAATGCTCACCTGATATTCCTGTGCCCACGTACAGCACCAAGATCAGCAATGCTAACAGCGTCTGGTGGCAAGAAGAGGAGGAAGGAAAGTGACTCACTGGGGGGCAGGCATCCCTGCTGCCCTCACAGAGCGGTGCTGTAAGATCGTTTTTAGAGTTTAACTTTTTTCCAGTTATCTATGGCATGCATGCTTACTACAAAACCCCCAAACATTGCAGAAGTAGGTAACATGGCAGCCCAGTGACATTCCACTGGAGTTTTCCCTCCCTTCTCTCTGCTGAGAAGGCCCACTTCTGTTCTCATTCCTTGCCTTGCTTTTACATTTTTGCTCTAAATGATCTTTAAAAGGAATCAACTTTATTGTGGTATAATTCAGAAAATAAAATGCACATATTTTAAATGTACAGTTTGATGAGTTTTGACATGTCTACACCTGTGGACTACCATCCCAGTCAAGAGAAAGAACATTTCCATCATCCCGGAAAGTTCCCTTATACCCTTTTACAGTCTGTTCCCTCCTTACCCTCACCCTGCCAGAGGGATCCACTAATCTTGCTTTGTCACTATGGAGTAATTTTTGCCTGGTCTATAACTGCATAAATGGAACTTCATAGTCTTTTGTGGTTAGCTACTTTTGCTCAACATAATGCTTCTGAGTTGTCTCCATGTTTGTGTGTTCAGTGTTATTGATGAGTAATATATTGTATGAATATGGTACAATTTATCTCTTTACCTACTGACGGACTTTGGGCTGTTTCTAGTTTCTGATGATCATGAATAAAACTGCTATGAACACCTGGATACAACTGTTTGGGTGGACACATGTTCTCATTCTGCTTGGGTTAGCACCCAGAAATGCAGATGCTGGGTCATATGGCAGGTGCATGTTTAATTTGATAAGAAACCACCAACCTGTTTTCAAGGGGTTTGAACCAATTTACATTTCTACCAGCAACCTGAGAATGTTAGTTGCTCCACGTTCCTATCGGCAAAATTCTTTTAGGCATTCTATTGGTTGTGTAGTGGTACCTTGATCTAGTTTTTATATGCACTTCCCCAATGATGAATAATGTTGTCTTAGTCCGTTTGCACTGCTATAACAAAGTACCACAGACCAGGTGGCTTATAAACAACAGGAATTTATTTCTTACTGTTCCGGGGGCTGGAAGTTTGGGACCAGGAGGCCAGCATGGTCAGGTTCTGGTGAGGGCGATCTTCTGGGTTCCATCCATTTCCATTGTATCGTTACATGGTGGAGAGCAGAGAGAGCTCTTTGGGGACTTTTATTTTTTTTTTTAAATCAGGGCACTACTCTAATTCATGAGGGTTCCACTCTCATGAATCATCTCCTGAAGACCCCCAACTCCTAAAACCAGCACTTTGGGAGTTAGGATTTCAACATATGAATTTAGGGGGGACATAAGCATTCAATCCATAGCAGATGTTGAGCATCTTGTCATGTGCTTACTGATCATAATTCACATATCTTACTTTGTGGGCGTGTCTATTAAAAACCCAGTTCATTTTTTTTATTGGGCAATTTGTCTTCTTATTAAGTTTTAGTAGTTCTTTATTTATTTTGGATATACATTCTTTGTCAGATGTTTGTATTGTGACTGTTTTCTCCAGGTCTGTGGCTTGCCTCTTCATTTTACCAGGGTGTTTGAAAGTTAAAAGGTTTCAAGTTTTATGAAGTTCAAATCATCAAACATATTCCCTTTATGGTTATGCCTTTTGTGTGCAATCTAAAAAATTTTGTTTAACTCAGGGTTGTGAAGATTTTTCTCCTCTGTTTTCTTCCTGGCATTTTATTGTTTTAATTTTCCAGTTAGGTAGAAGGTCCATTTTGAATTAATTTTTGTATATGCCGTGAAGGAGGGGTCAAGATTCTTTTCCTCATATGAATGTCCAGTTCTAGAATTATTTGTTTAAAAAGCCTAATTATTCATTGGATTGCATTGCTCTCTGTCAAAAATATGCCCACCAAATTTATGTGGGTCTGCTTCTGGATTCCATTCTGTTTCACTGATCTATATATCAATCTTTATGTCAGTGCTAAATCTGTATTAGTTTGTTGGAGCTGCTATAACAGAATACCACAGATTGGGCAGCTTAAACAAAAATTAACATTAACTATTAATAAAAATTAACAGTCATGGAAACTGGAAGTCCAAGATCAAGATGTGAGGCAGGGTTGGTTTCTAGTGAAACCTCTCTCCTTGGCTTCTGGAAGGCTGCCTTCTCCCTGTGTCCTCACATGGCCTTTTCTCTGTGCCTCCCTGGTATCTCTCTTCTTATAAGGACATCAGTGCTATTGGAGCAGAGCCCCACCCTTTATGACCTCATTTAACCTTAATTATTTCCAAGTACAGTTGGGGCTTCCACATGTGAATTTTGGAGGACACAGTTCAATCTGTAACAGCTCTCTCCACCGTCACTATGCTGTTCCATTCCTTTCTCTATCTATCTTATGTCAATGCCACACTATCTAGATGACCATACAGCTTTTTAAAATTTTTTTAAAATTTAATTTTATTATGTTATGTTAGTCACCATTCATTACATCATTAGTTTTTGATGTAGTGTTCCATGATTCATTGTTTGCGTATAACACCCAGTGCTCCATTCAATACGTGCCCTCCTTAATATCCATCACTGAGGTAACCTATCCCCCCACCCCTTCCCTTCTAAAACTCAGTTTGTTTCTCAGAGTTCATAGTCTCTCATGGTTCATCTCCCCCTCCGATTTCTCCCCCTTCATTTTTCCCTCTCAACTATCTTTTTTTTTTTTTAACATATAATGTATTATTTGTTTCAGAGGTACAGGTCTGTGATTCATCAGTCTTACACAATTCACAGC